AACTAATAAAAATAAATAATAAATATATCATAATAAAACTTACCAACTTGTTCATGCTGTCCGCGACGAAAGCCTCCTGGAGGTGGTGGATCCCCAGTTCCATCACCACTATGTCCAAGGCCCATAACATCGGCCATCATGACAGAGTATTCCCCAAGTAAACCTCATTTGTATCCTGTAAAATTACAAGATGTACAATATAGAAATACAATACGAATAAAAGTTAGTTACCCTGCAAAATTATAAGATATGCAATATAGACAAACAACATAACTAAAATTTAGACAAACAATATGAATAAAAGTTAGACTTCAAATAAAGTTTCTATTACAAAAAAACATTTGATTTTTTTAATCAAAATCTCCATCATATACTTCAATGTCTTCTTCATCAGTATCATAATCAGAATCGTCATCATCATAATCATTCTCTTCCTCGGAAACATTATCGACTCTACCAGTTGGCAGAGGTACTTCAGTATCGTCCTCATCATCATAATCAACATTGTTTTCAACTACATCAACATTGTTTTGTAAGTATTGTGAGAAGTCGATAAAAATCTAGCTCCAGATGAAGAGTTGTTTTGAACTACATCAACATTTTCGGCCACCACATTGTCGACATTTTGGACAGAGTCACTGTAAGCATTTTGGACACGAACATTGTCGGATGGTAGATCCCAAATACTTCGATGATTAACATGCTCGACAACACACCGATGGTTGTTGTTTTGGTTTCTTCGATGATTAACAGGCTCGCGGATGTAGAACACTTGTTTGGCTTGTGAAATATATATGAGTTGATCATCTTGGTACGCTTCTTGTTCTGTGTTGATACTTATGAAATTATAATCACGAATATCTCCTGTATCGAACCACTTGCACCGAAATATTACAGTCGAATAATCATATAGATATTGCACCTCCATAATCTCTTCTAACTGGTCATAATATTTGATTTTATATATAATTTGATTTGATTTTAAAGTTAACTTAATTTGATTTTCTAATTAATTTAATATTTTCTTTTTTTTATTAGTTTAATTTTTTAAACTAATTTTATTTGATTTTAATATTAATATATACTTGATATTAAAACTAATTTAATTTGATTTTACAATTAATTTAATATTTTTTATTGAATTTTTTATAATTAATTTAACTTTATTTTATAATTAATTTAATTTGATTTTATAATTAATTTAATTTGATTTTATATATATTTTAATTTGATTTTTAAGTTAACTTAATTTGATTTTATAATTAATTTAATATTTTCTTTTTTTTATTAGTTTAATTTTTTAAACTAGTTTTATTTTATTTTAATATTAATATTAACTTGATTTTAAAACTAATTTAATTTTATTTTACTATTAACTTAATATTTTTTATTGATTTTTTTATAATTAATTTAACTTTATTTTATAATTAATTTAATTTATTTTATAATTAATTTTATTTTATTCCAATATTAACAATAATTTGATTTTATAATTAATTTAATTTGATTTTATAATTATTTTAAATTGATTTTATAATTAATTTAATTTAATTTTATTATTAATATTAATTTGATTTTTTAATTAATTTAGTTTGATTTTATAATTGATTTCATGTAATTTTATATATATTTTAATTTGATTTTAAAGTTAACTTAATTTGATTTTCTAATTAATTTAATATTTTCATTTTTGTTATTAGTTTAATTTTTTAAACTAATTGTATTTTATTTCAATATTAATATTAACTTGATTTCAAAACTAATTTAATTTGATTTTACAATTAATTTAATATTCTTTTTATTATTTTTTGTAAAATTAATTTAACTTTATTTTATAATTAATTTAAAATTACTAAAAGTAAGTTGCTATTGATAACCTAATTAAGCTAAAGTTGTAACGACCAACATTAAGTTACTAACAAAATTAAGCACTTTGAAACCATATTAACTAGAAAATAAAGACATAATAAACATCTAATACAATCATACATGTAAATACAAGCACTTCAACTTCTCAAACACATTAACTTCAGAATTAAGAACTTTATCACTTCATCTTATATACACCAAACTATTAATCATAAATATCACATAATCATACATGTATACAATACATTCAATTCCAATTTTCATTTCATTTTAGACATACAATACAACTTTCATATTTCAATTTCATACATTTAAGCATACAATACATCTAATTCAAATTCCAATTTAAAACAATTAAGCAATACATCAAATTTTATACAACCATACCTTATAGCACCTACCATTTTAGACATCTAATTTCAATTTCATACAAATGTATACATCTAAATAAAAAATCAAACAAATGTATACATCCAATCTCAATTTCATGCCTAATTTCAATTTCAAGCCAATACACCACATTGAGCATAAACATAAATATGAAAAACATATACAAAATGTTGTATAAATATGAAAAAACATATATAATCACTCAAAATGCATAAACAATTGCATACAAAATACATATATAATCAATCAACCAAACAAAATCTGAGAATTATACTACACATTCATCACCCAAAATACCATGAAAACAGAAGATTAATAGAAAATAAGAAGGAACTCGACCTTAATGGTTTGTTCGCCGGTAATGGTGGTCAATCGGCGGTGATGGCGGTCAAATCACTGATGGCGGTCTCATGGCAGGAATCGACGGTTGGGTGTTGGATGAGTGGTTGTTGCGTCGAAGGAACTGAGTCGGACGAACTTTCACGGAAGACAAAATACACAGAAAGAAAGCTGAACTAGGGGGTTATCTATGAAGACCTTTAGCGGCGACGGACATTAGCGGCAACGCAGAGGCATTAGCGGCGACGTAGAGGCATTAGCGGCGACACCCTGGAGGGAAAAGTCAACGCCTTTTTTCTTTCCGTCACAACCCTAGGATCAAAAACAAATCGGACGGATGTGGCTCATTTAACGCGGATCGCCATTATGAGACCATTAGTGGCTACGCCTTTAGGTGCAACGCATGACATTAGCGGCCACATTTAACGCGTCAATTACATGTCTCCGTTAATGCCCTGCGTCTCCGCTAAAGACGTCGCCGCTAATGCCAATATTTCTTGTAGTGTTACTGAACCTAAAACATGTGCAAGGATAGAACCCACATTTTTAAAAAAACTTAAGGGTTTTTATGTCATTTTCCCATGAAAGTATAGACAACTAGATCAATGTATACAATTAAGCGAGAGAAAACAATGAGCATGTTTAATATCCTTTCAATTATGTAGATAAAACCCTATATATTAGCATTTTGCTTTTACAAAATTTAAAATTTAACCCGTGAAGAATCTACATACTTAGTCCACTAACCATTTTTTTTAAATACAACAAATCATTTACATTAAAACAATACCTTAGAATGTGATTTAGATCTTTCACATTGTACCTGGCAGTTTCAAAAAAAGATAAAACTACATATGGAATGTGGTACCAAATGGCTTCTAACCCAGCGGTATCCGGTGTTGCCCTCCTTCCTTGAGGTTGAGGGTTCAAGTCATGTCGTGGACATAGGTGAATTTAAGGAGTAGTTTAGGAGTAGGTTAGATTTTCCGTTTCAAAAAAAAACATATGGAATGTGGTTTAGGGTTTTGACTATAAAGAAAGTATAAAACATTTCAAACACGTCTAGAATATAGTTCATCCACAACACACCAAAATTGGATAAGTACAATGCTAAAAATAGTATAATGTTAGGAATGAAAAACAACAAATTACTTCCTTGTTAAGAGTATCTTTAAGTTTACTTACTAATTATTTTAAATTTTGATTTGTTAGTTACAACACTATTTCATAAAGTTTATATATAGATATATATATATATATATATATATATATATATATATATATATATATATATATATATATATAGAGAGAGAGAGAGAGAGAGAAGTTCAATAGAGAACCATAATTATTGGTTCTTCAAGGAACCAATTTTTTTTTTCAAGTTTTAGAGCTTATTGTTTATCAAAAAAAAACTAAATATTTCTAAATTAATAACTTCAAATTGTGAATACTAAAAATAAATTATATATTTTTCGAGTTCACCATGTGGATTCAGATTCACACTATGAATTTAATGATTTTTTTTATCGAATTCGATATCATTGGAAAAATGATAAAAAGTTATGAATTTCTTTTTTTTATATATAAAAAACAAGCTCTAAATGTTGAAAAAAAGATTGATTAATTTCATTGGTTAATTATGGTTCTCTATTAAACATTACCCTATATATATATATATATATATATATATATATATATATATATATATATATATATATATTATATATATATATATATATATATATATATAATCGAATAGTATATTTTTGTACTTCTCTTAATTGTTTCAATCAAATATCTTTGTATATACACAATTAATATTAAGAAATTTGTTTTAACATTTTCTAAAATATTTTACAAAATAAACTAAGGGAAATCTTTGATAAATTTCAATATTTTGGATGGTTTAATTCCAATTTATATTTTTTTAACAGAAAAATCATGATATTTTATATTTTGATCAAATTAAGAAAATGACCATATTTTTTTGTCAACAGAAAATGACAGATTATCATATAAAATTAGATAGTTGAGATTTTTCAGTTCAAAAAATAAATATTGAAATTAAACCATAATGTAATCCAAAATATCATGATTTTATCAGAGATTTCTATTATATTAATAAGTATATAATTGTGAAAATAAAATAATAAATTTGTTTTGTGAAAATAAAATTTGTGTTGTTTGGCAAACTACAACATATATATATTGAGTGAACAACAAAACATGTTTGCTTTTCTAAATTTTCTAGCAAATACATGATAAGAGGAAAAGATCCAGGCAACATTGATCTTAATTCTAATTTATCTATGAATCATCTTGAATATAATTTACACTAAATGATCAAGACCGTCGATACATCCTGGAACCAACTGTTGCAACATGTATTGCTCTACTTAACTTCATTCCGATGTTACAGCACCTTCTGCAGTGTCCTTAGGTGGTGGTCTCCTCACAAATTTTCGAGCCCAGACATGCTTCCCATTGATATAGTATTTAGATCTTCCATCAGCTCCATCTCTCTCCACTACAGCCCTAACCATAGAAGGAGAGCGAGCCACAATTCGAGCAAAAAGGGGTTGATTCTCTCCAGCAACAGGTTGCATGTATATGGACTCAATGAAATCCCCAAAGATTCTGTTGAAATGAACCCAAAGAGTTATTAGAAAACATAAAATACATAATTCTAGAATTGATGAGAAATTTATGTATATATATACCTAGTGAAGTACAGTTTAACTTCATTTTCAGAAATAGGATACCCTTTGGAAAAGGTGAGGAAGATAGTCCGATTCTCAGGTGGTACCTCCTCTTCTTGCTCACTTACGAACAAAGAAGTTGTGTCGGAAGTATACAATGAATTCGGACTTGAATTTATCTCTTGCTTTAAATAAATTTCAGCAGGTAGAAGAGCACCATGACTTTCACCTTCTCCAACACCACCCATCTGCTGAAACCGATGTGCAATGACATTATTCAGCATAAATTCTGCATCTTGGCTTGGTGTTCGAGGAAACTTAACATACTTAGTGACATCATATGAAGGAAAAGGGACAACCGGACCTACATAACGAAAACCACCAACAACGTTGCAAACAGTAACCTCTTGAGTAGAATGCAACACTAAAGGCCCACCGCACCTGATGAAGTTTTCCAAGATGTCATCAAACGCCCTGCTGGAAACCTCTTTCGCCATTGCAGACACCTCATCAAAGTTGTGATGAAGCTCCTCTAGATGTATACTTTTTCGATCAAGAAAACACTGAAGTGTCTGGATGTTGTACTGTTTGCTGCTCGACTCAAACATTAGTCTGTTTGCCTTTTTCTCCAAGAACTTGATGCATATCATGACCTCATCAGCAATCTGATCGATTATGTCAGCAGTAAAACAATTGACGATGGTTTGAACAAGATTCTTTGAGGTATACCCTTCTCTTTCTAGCCATAGAAGAAACCCCATCATGAATATCGACTGGATGACCTCTCGGTGAAGAACTACAAGCAACACCGTGAATAAAGCACGCTCGTTTTTGTAGAACAGAAGGTAATCTTCCTGACTGATCACTGGAAATGGAACAGTCATAGGGAAAAGTGAAGGGTGTTTCGATGAACCAAAGATATCAGCCATCGAGCTATTTCTTGATGTGGGTATCGTATCGATTCAGGGAGTCAGTGTGTGTTCGTGTACACTGTGTGAAATGGTCTGAAATACATCTACAGTGAATATATAGGAACTGAGAGGGTGTAAGGTGATGACAGTGAAAGACGAAACTACCCTCTTGAAAGGCGCAATTGTTGAAAATTTTGAAATTAAGGCAAATACATCTAGAAAAATCATTGGCTTAAAGAGGGATATATCATAATAGTAATAATGTTATTACTTTTTAATAATATTTGTAAAATACATTCATTAATTAAGGATTTTCAAATATCAGATGATCTATCTTATCTACAATTAAGAAGGAACTTACAATTTTTTCTATATCTGTATATATTTAAAGTGGATGCATTTAACAAGTCAAATATATAAATATTACATGTTTACACTTTACATTTATGGCCACTAAATTGATGTCTGTATTTGCAACAAATATTTTGTACATTTTTTATGTAACCGCTTGAATGTTCACACTTTGTGTAGTTTCTGGTTTTACATAATTAAACACAAAAAAATGTTGTAATTGAAATGAGGAGCTTAGTGGACATAAACACAATTAGTTGAGAAAGGTTTAGAGAAGACAACAGTCATCGAAAGATATTCCAACAAAGCATTGGCTTCAAACTTGAGGTTATCATACTTTAATAATAATGTTATTTGTTGTTTTGGCTAACTTTGTGTTAGCCCATTGAATTAGCCCTGTCGAAAATACCCGATACCCGAATTACCCACCCGATTTTTTCAGTTATCGGATAAATCGGGTATCGGGTTAATTTTTTCAGGTATTTGGGTAACTCGATTTTTTTTCAGGTCGGGTGTAGGGTACGCTTGTTGGGTTTCGGGTATACCCGAATTACCTGAATTATTTTAAAAATTCATTTTTTTTCGTAGTTCTTGTACTCTATAGTAGGTATTTGATCACGCTTAAATAACTATCATTATTGCAAAACATGAATCTTTTTTATTATGACAGTATGACACCAACAATATTTAAAAACAGTTCTTTATATGTCACCATTTTCTTTAAAAGTTAACTGTTTTCTAGATTATAGTTTTTATTGCAACTAACAAACTCATTATCTTGACAAAACTTCACAACATGACAAAACTTATGGCTACAATTATCTTAAACATTTTAAACTTTTAAACTAAGATCTTTAAGTATTTGTTTTTTTTAATATCTTATTAGATTAGATTAAGCTGTTAAAAGATTACTTGATATCTCAAGTATTATTGACTAAAAAATTTCAATGTTCAAAGTTTGGGTACCTTTGTTTATGTCTCGTTTGTTTATATAAACAAGACTAATAGAGCACGACATATTTATTTCATTAAATTTATTTTCAGGTGCAATTAAAAAAAAACCTATATATTTCGGGTAATACCCGAATTACCCAAACCCGGTCCACTACCCGAATTACCTAAATCCGAATTACTCGAATTTAATTTGGGTCAGGTAACGGGTATTTTTTTTAACATGAAAAACTCGAATTACCCGAAACCCGAAATAAATACCTGATCAACACCTACATTGAATACAATATGTTGTTTTAAAAAAAATTATATATTCCGTCAATCATTTTAAAAAATCCTTATAAAACAACATTATACAATTAATTTCAAAAGGCTTATAATTGTGTAAAATATTTTTAGCTCCATTCTTAAAATATTTATAGAAAAGATTACCATCTTTCTTTGTAACAAACATTTTGTCTTCATATGAAAGTATAAGTTATAACCACAATAGAAAGTATTATTCATATCGTTTGTTTGTCACATTTTTCAAAATGACAAAGGCTTTGTGGTAAATAAAAATACATTAATATATAATATATATATATATATATATATATATATATATATATATATATATATATATATATATATATGCCTAGGTTATAATGTGGATGGACAACTATTGTGCGGACTTGTGAATACTGCTATTCTATGAGAATTACTAAAAAAATAGGTTGTTTAGTAATGTGAATACGTTCAAACCTCACACAACTATCGTTATTTTCATGCATTCTTACTAATTCTTATTCATTTTTGTTCTCACACATCGTGTTTCACTCATTTTCATTCTTACAGAATACGACTCAATAAACATTCTGACAGAATGAGAATAGTAAAAAAATGTCTATAATAACCTTATAGACGATTTAATTAGTGAGAATGTGTGATAATGATAATAGTTATGTAAGATTGAACGTATTCACATTATCAAACAATGTATTTTCTTTGTCATTATCACAGAATAGCACTGTCTACACGTCCGCACAATAAATATCAATTCACAGTTGAACCTAGATATATATATATATATATATATATATATATATATATATATATATATATATATATATATATATATATATATATATATATATATATAGGTTCTATGAAAAAAAAACCCTAAAATTGCATAAAAATGCATAGAAAAAATACTTAGAGATCAAAAATCTTTTTTTTTACTTTATATTCTTAAAATTCGCAACTTTTTATATAAATTCGCTGATTTTTTTTTGAAAAAAAAAAACCAAAAAAGAGAAATCGATTTTTTATGTTTTTTTTCCAGCGAAATTTCTAAAAAAACTGCAATTTTTTGATATATAAAGTCAAAAAAGAGTTTTGTGATCTCTAAGTATTTTTTATGCATTTTTATGATTTTTAGTGTTTTTGTAGGTTTTTTTTTTGTTTTCCATATAACCTTTTCCTATATATATATATATATATATATATATATATATATATATATATATATATATATATATATATATATATATATAGAGAGAGAGAGAGAGAGAGAGAGAGAGAGAGAGAGAGAGAGAGAGAGAGAGAGAGAGAGAGAGAGAGCAAGGTTCAAATGTGGATTGATATCTATTGTTCGGACGTGTGGACAATTGTATTATGTGAGAATGACAAATAAAATATATTGTTTGATAATGTGAATACGTTCAATCTGACATAACTATTGTCATTATTACGCATTCTCACTAATTAAATCGTCTATAAGGTTATTATAAATTTTTTTTTATTCTTATTCTGTTAGAATGTTGTCAGAATGATTATTGAGTCGTATTCTGTAAGAATGAAAATGAGTGAAAAATGATACGTGAGAACAAAAATGAATAAGAATTAGTGAGAACGAATGAAAATGACAATAGTTGTGTGAGGTTGAACGTATTTGCATTATTAAACAATCTATTCTCTTAGTAATCCTCATAAAATAGCATTGTCTACACGTCTGCACAATAATTGTCTATCCACATTATAACCTAGCCCTATATATATATATATATATATATATATATATATATATATATATATATATATATATATATATATATATATATATATATATATATATATAACAATAAGTCTATAATAATGAAGTGTTTTATATCAATCATTTTCAAGAACATTTAGTGAAATACGTACATTATACAAAAAAAACTAAAGCCACATTCTATTTTCTTCTTTTTATAATTAATTATGGGTAAAATGGAATAACTAATGTATAAATAAGGACTTCTTTTTATATCCGAATAAAAAAAATGATAATTTATTTTTCTGTTTAAAAGTGATGTTGCATAACAATTAAAAGTTTATTTTAAGAGTTGTAATAAATTGAAAATGTAAATAATCATCATAATATAAAATAACTATATCTTATGAACGATGTTATCTATTTAATTTGGAGCCAAATAAATATCTATCTTGCATTAATTAGTTTATAAGCATAAATATCTTTATTATTTTGATTTAAATATTAATTGAGTATTAACATATAAAATATATGACAGGTTTATATTTTAACCATTTGTTACACAACTGTGAACCTCAAACATTAGGTTCCTATATTTAATTCATACAATATGATTGTAAAATATTTTTTAGTGTTATTTATAAAATTGACTATAGTGGGGTGGGGTCTTTCATATTATAACACAACCATAATCTTTCAAACTTTAAAAAATTGACCAACAACCATACCAAAAAAGCTCACGAACTAACATATGCTAATTTTTACCTCGACCGCCACGATAAGAACCTCTGTTTGAGGAAGTAGGAAAGCGAGATGGCTGAGCAATGAATGCAAAGGGGAAGCAGTAGATCCATGAACAGATTTTAAAAATAATTCATGACTTTCAGCTTGAGAAAGAAGGTCACGAAAGGATGGTCATGGTTTGACGGCCCTTTGCGATGTGGAGAAAGTCTCATATAAGGGGCCAACAGCGTATAGGAACCGGTGGTTTTTATCAGTTTCTTCCACTAGTTGGCCAATGGCTGCAAGCTGGTTACAAAAAGTTTTTAATTTTCGAGCATATTCAGAGACAGAAGATGAAACTTTTTGTAGTTGGCGAAGGGAATCCCAAAGATTTTGCATTTGTTCAACAAAAGCGTGACTGTATGCAGCTTCAAGAGTGGTACATACATCTCGAGTGATATGTAGTCCAAGGATCTCTGACATAGCTTCTTCGGTAAGGGATGCTTGAAGAATTAAGATGGTTTGTTGATCAGCTTCTTCCTAACCAGGCAGGATTTGGAGAGGATTTGTCTTTAACAGTGATGGTCAATGAGCCACTGTAGAACCATTAACGTGAGAAGATTTTGATACTGAAGTAGATGAATGATTTGATTCTTCCATAGTAGGTAATTGAAAGAAGATAGTTTGATAGTCAATAGATGCATAATGGTGTTGAGGGAGAGGGTATCGTCGACAGAAGAAGAAGAAGAAGAAGAAGAAGAAGAAGAAGAAGAAGAAGAAGAAGAAGAAGAATGTGACATGATGAAGATCGAGAAAAGATTGAATAGGGCCGGCTAAAAGGAACGTAGAAAGGTTGATACCATATAATGGTTTAATAAAACCAATCTCCCATAATATGGAGAGATATACAATTCACTATTTATAACAAATACAAGATTACAATATATGAATTTGAATTACAATAAGATCCTATAAGCTA